GGGGGGGGGGACAGAAGAGTGATTCAAAGATGTAAAGAGACAGACGCAGAGGTAGAAAAAAAGGTGAGTTGAGTATTGTGGAAGAATTCGAATATGACATACGGCGAGGTAATGTTAGTTTGAGGTGAGAAGTCAGCTGCCGGTTTATATACTTTTTTTGCCGTGTGAGTATACGTTGCCCAGGATGCACCACGTGGAGGTAAGTCTATCGCAAAAGCATCTGAAAGTGCATAATCAAATTTTAGGCTAAGTTGGTAATAAAGGATTTTGGTATGAATCGGTTAACTTGCAATCAGATGTGAATTTAATTAATTCATCGCTTCCTTTTCAGACGAGATAAGAGACATCGGTCCCACAGACGTGAAGATTCCTATGAACGGTAATTTATTTCTTTGCTTTCTTTATTCACGCATGAACATCTTTATTGCAGTTCTATATATGATTTTTGGTTGGTGAAAAGCACGTATCCCAGTTGCTTTCGAAATCTTAAAAAATTGACTTATTTTAAAACGCGATTTAAATGTAATTAGTTTTATTTCAAGCCTTGGTGACTGAAGATATTTGCTGAATCATTTATATAGTTGTTGATGTCCCGGTCCTGCTTGGTTTTATTCAATCCAAGCCTGCTAGAATGGACTGTTGCCTTGAGAATAGAGAAGTGTTAGTTTAGATTTTGTACTTCTTCCGCGTCAAATTGAGAAAGAAGACCGAGATTGTGGCATCTCAGTACTTATGTAGTGCCAGATTAAGGCTAACTTCCAGTAATCGCAGTTGAAACGAATTGATTTGTAAATCAAGATTAGACTGTTGGCAAAAGCTTCGCGTTCATTAGGATTTAAGGATGAAAAACAATCTGATAGGTTGATTCGAAATGTCAGTTGAACATTCTATTATCTTCAGAGACGTCTTTTTCATAATCTCAACTTTTATTGTGCTCAGATGTCTCTAAGTATGAGTCTTGAATAGGAACTTGAACGATGTACTTTTCATGATTGGGACTTATATAATATTAGACACTACTTCAAGAGAGGATATTTACGCATATTTCTTTCTAGCATAATTGTCTAGTTTTTTTGTTTTTTTTTTAATTCATCAAGTTGTCGGGATGGTAGTCGGGTAACTATGGACAACGAAACCTACGTCGAAGAACGTCGTCATCGTTACGAACCATCCAGAACTACCACTAATCATAGTAGCAACTTAGTGGAGCTCACAGAAGTCATTCCCGATCCTCATCACCATTATGAACGCGAACGATCATCTTATCACCATTCATCACGCCATCATCACCATGGTGCTGCTAGGAAAGGAAGAAGTGGACGAGAGGAAGATCATTATGATAGACATCGTCATTCCTCCTCACCGAGACATCGCAGTCGCAGTCCTGAAGGCCCACTTCCCGTTGAAGCCACAGATAGAAGGCACAGAGGTGATTTTCTCGATATAAAATTTGTAACTACAATTTTTCGCAATAAACATTTGCTAATTTCGGTATAGCTTACCGCTGCAATAAAGTACCAATTTCATTACATAGCTTATAAGAATCTTAGAATTCATAGTAGTTGTCAAAGTTCATTACTATCCCCGACAATATTTTAGAGAAAATAGAAAGAGGATCAGAGGTAGCCGCCATTTCTAGCTATAGATTAATCTTAGCCGCACACGATCGTGCTTCAGTTGCACTATTTGTTGATTCCAGATTGGCGCCATTGCTATCCTCTCAGACCGTTGAATTGTCAACCTCGATCTACATAGAGCTTGAAAGCATTTTTTTGTTTAATAATCGACGTGCTGATTGTGAAAGTATAGGAATTCAAGATGATCACCTGTGTGTGTGTGGCTGTAGAAATTTTTTTGCTCTTGTAGAATCTGTTTTTTTAATTTAATTTTTGGTTTTTATTTTTTTAAGTATTTTTTTTCTTTCCAGACACTCCTGAAGAGCAGTTTTCTTAACAAAAGCATTATCCAGAATCCTCGTTATGATTTAACCTGTAATTCTAACACTGTCTTTTAATTATATATTCTTTGAACTTTATAATCTGTTTGATAATTAAGTAACTAAATTCATTGTTAAAGATTCATTTAAGGCTGGTATTGCAAATAACTAGTCATAAATAACTGGCGAGAATCGGTATTCTCATGAAAAAAATCGAAATTGTGATTTATTTTAAGATCGCTCATTAGCAAGCCAATGTAGAGTTAGTACAAATAAAGGTCGATACTGTTCGATAAGCAGTAATTTGGGCTGATACATATTTAAGTCCTTACCAAAGTTGGAGGAAGCGCGACCATCTTATCACCATGGCCACTATTTTTTCAAGCCATGAAGCCCGTGGATAAGTTCCTCTTGGCATACTAGCATTTCATTTATCACTTTTTCCAGGTAGAATTTGGTGTCTCCATATATACTGGCGAAGTTACCAACCTAGCCTTCTTCCAATTCTTCAGTATCAATCTGCTTGAAAGCTTTGATGTCCATTCTATGTTCAAACAGTGTTTCAATATTTATCAAAACGTCTGTACTCTCTCACTTAATTGTCTAGGTAAAGCAGAAAATATTGATTTCAAAGCTATCAGATAGCCAAAAGAAAATTTTATTAGGTAATTGTAAGTGATTCGACCATTTGTAATTGACCAGCGGGTTAAGAACGCGACGAATGATATATTTTTATTACAAAGGTGTGGATGGCTGTTGGAAAGCTAATTGACGCGAGGTAAAGCTGCCCGAAATGCCTCTTTAAATAAAAGTTGTACATTTCCATAGGGGGTGGGGCAAAGATTTTATTGTTACGCTTTTTGATTTTTCTCTACATTTTTTTTGCAACAAACCACAGATGTTGTTGACCTGAAATCTACGACTTTTGTTTTGTGTGTGTGGGCGCACATCAGCGCTTTGTCGAGGCTCTTGCTCCTTGAGATAATATTGTCTTAAAATATTGTTGAAATAAAGGCGTTCAGTATTCTCCAATGAGGAAGGTGTTTTTCCGCCTCCCAGTGATGGAAGTCGACTCTCTTCAAATATTTGAATGAACTTTTTCTCTTTTTCCAAATATGTTTCGCTTTTTGTTGGCTATTTTAACCACTCCCATTCTTCCATCAAGCACTGGAAGGGGTGTCCTGTAGACAATTTTTTTTCGTTGTAAGACTGCTATTTCTCCCTAACTACGAATTATATTTCATTCAGTATTTAAGTTTCCACATGGAACTACGTATGGAACTCCTGAAAGTACAGAGGAGGCTAACAGAAGAGTTGAGTTTTTTAGTCTCGAGTGAGTTTACTGTAGTAGGTACTGTGGGTCCAGATATCAGTTTTGTCTAGTGAAAAACGGTTTTTTTGTTCACTCCTGTATGAAAACTTGTTATGCTTATGAATCAACAAAATGTTTATTGCTGTACATTTTAATGGTTTCTTGAAACACTTATCTTCTTCGGAAAGGATGTTTTAGCCTTGCGGGATTTAGTAAAGTCATTCGATGTGGAATTTCGTTTATAAGCCTAACACCTATTTGAGTCCGGCAGGTATTAGAATCGCTTTAGGTTAATTATAATTTTATATTTTTCATTCTATAGCTTCACCAGAAGGACCTGAACTGCCAAGACGTCTTCAAGAACCGGACCGATCCGCTTTGAAGTCCAAGCATTCAGAGAAAAAATCAAAGGCTGAAAGGCACTACTCATCTGGTTCCTCCAGTTCGTCTACTTCCAGTTCTGACTCGGATTCCTCCTCCGAGTATTCGAGCTCAGAGTCTTCAGGGGACAGCAGCTCAGATAGTGACAGCTCATCTTCTGGTAGCAGTAGCAGTTCTGAGAGCAGTGACAGCAGCGCCTCATCGTCTTTAAGTTCCTCATCCGGCGAGAAGAAAAGAAAAAGGTGGCGCCACGGTCAGGTACGTCTTTACTGAAATAATTAAGTAGTCATTTCAATCACCAGTGAATCCACTTTTCTTACATTGTCTTAATATCGGATATCTAAAAATGTGTGATGTTCTTGATTTGTTTCACAAAGTTTTTTTCGTGAATATGATATTTTGGATCGGATATTACCATCAAGGGCTTTAAAAGATATTAAACCGAAATGTGAGAGTTGTGCAGCACGTAGGTGAATGAAGGAGAAGTTATTTTGTCTGTTGCTTCTGCGAAATCTGGAGCCTTCGCATGTCTGTCCATTTCTTTTTACCTCGTTTTGGGCCAGTATTTCTTCGGAGAGTTGAGTTCAATATTCAAAAGCGCATTACCTCAACGGTTATCTCGTACCTTCTTTCTAGAACGGAAAATCCTCCAAAAAGCGCAAAGGACACAAGGGTCACCACCACAAACGCCGTCGTCATCACAAGGAGAAATCGGGGAGAAAGAAAGCCAAGATAGCCCTCAAACAAATGAAGGCGAGCAAAACAAAGACAGTTCGTAAACCAGAACCAGTGGTCATTCACGAAGGGCCTGCTCCTCCTCCTCCTCCGCCTGCTGCTTCACAGCCAATTCTCAACGCTTCAGCAGATGTAGCAGTGGAATGGAAGGAGCGTCGAGAAAAATCTTTGCCATCCTCAAGAAGCAGCTCCTCATCTGGAACTTCTAGTAGTGATGATTCTTCGTCTTCAACCACTTCAACTGATAGTGAAGAGAGAGAGAAGCGTGAGAGACTAAAAAGAAAGCTTTTCAAGTCCATGTCTCAATCAAATGTATTGTTAAAGGAGGACTCACAGCCTGCTCGAGGGGTTCGTCTTATTTGTTTACTCAAGTTGTATCCCTCTAAGTGCATTTTATTGCAATGAATGCCATTGAGTTCTGAGAACTTAGTTCCTGTTGTCTTCTTATTTCTGTGGAATTTCGTGACAATCATCAACTATTATTGATATGCTTTCAATTCTCTTCAGTTATTCACGGTGGAATAACCACTCCCAAGATGCAGCAAAATAGTCCATATTAGAGATTAACTTTGGTCCTGGGGCTTCCATTCATTCTAATGAGTGATCATCTAGATCTGATTTTCGGTCCATCTAGACACGTCAGCACGATTTACTCTAGCATCTTTCCTCATTAAAAGACAAAATTTTGTAGTTATTTGACTCCACTAACTTTTAAACGATTTTTTTTCTGATTTGGGGCAATGTTTTTTTAGCAAATGGCAGGCGTTTTGATAGTTATCATTAGCTCTTTAGTGAATTTCAGGCTTCACAGAGGGGAAGGAACATCAAAGTGAGAAAATGTCGAGAGGGGGGGGGGGCAGAGGAGTGTTTCGAAGATGTAAAAGAGGCAAACACAAAGGTAGAAAAAGATGAGGTGAGTATTGTGGAAGTAGTGGAATATGACATACAGTGGTGTGATGGTAGTTTGAAGTGAGAAGTCAACTGCCGGTTAATAGACTTTTTGTCGTGTGAGTATACGTTACCCAGGGTGCACCACGTGGAGATAAGTCTATTGCACACCCCATTTGGGACAGTGTAGAGTAGTTAAAATTTCCTGCCCTGATGTGGGTCTTAACAAGGCAATTAATTTTTCCGTTTTTAAAGGTTGATGCTGACTTCGAAAATCGTTCAAAGCGCCGAAAGAATGACCATGACCTTCCTGGTAGTGGT